CCCTTTTAAGCCAGGTTTGATTAGTTGGCTCGGTGAATAAGTATTTTCAAAACCAAAACCACCATTTGTAGAAGTCACCCTGGCTGAAAACATCACCAACGATCACAGCATTTTGCTGTTCCACACCACTCACCAGGATGCTCTTATACGTATTGCCATTGTTGTCTTCTATGCTAATCCGGATGACGCACGTATCTTTGTGCTGCTGGCTGTAAACAGGAGGCAGTACTTCTGTCGAGGTAACAGGTGTCACGGAGACAGCGCACTTGTCATCGGAGGACAGCAAGGGAGAGGATGGGATTGAAGGTGACACCTCCGAGGGAGGGATGTCCATGGGATGAATGGAGGAAGAGAAGGACGAGGGTTCTTCGACAGCTACACAACAGAAAAGAACAAAAACACTCATAAACTGGACATTTTGTATGTCTGCGTGAGTCATTCCGGGAGAAGGACTTGAGAAAGCAGAAAGTCTATGGAAAACCTCAGTCATCTGCACTCTGTCCAGTAGGCTGGAAGGGGTCTTCCTTGCCTCCAGAAAATGTGAACCTCACTTGATTAATTTCACAATTTTAATGAAAACATTTCCAGTTCAGTGTGGCGGGCAGGGCGCATGGCTTGCTCCTGCCTCCCACGGAGGGCAGGCCAGGAGGTGGCAGCAGATCCAGCGGCCAGCATCAGGCTGTGGGCAACCAGCTGGGGACTGGGACCAGCTGGGGAAGAGCGGAGCGTGTCACCGGTACTACCGCTCCTGCTCCAGCCAGGAATGAGCCTTTACACACACACCTCCCTGCCTGGCGCTTCTCCTTGAATATTCTTTCCTCATTGGGAACTGCCTCCTTCCTTCCCCAGCTGCTCAGGGGGTTGCCTCTCTCTCTCCATCTGCCTTGCTCAGACTCTGCTGAGAGGATCTTCCCTCTCCAATTTGCGTATCAAAACCACCATAACAACTGCTCTAGCTAAACAGTTTCAACGATTCATGGAGGCTAGTGTCTGGGACCCCGTGCTTCATTTGGTTTAAAAACATTTAGTATCATTTATTTTAAAATAGCCACCAGCTGAACCTCCATAAGACACTCTTCATCAAAACATCCCTGAAATGGGCTTCAACAACACAGTTAACAGAATTTATTTGCAAAGGGAAGAGTCTGTAGGAAAGATGTCCCTGTGGACCCCCCATCAGATCCCTTCTGCTGGTTTCCTGCCCGTGTAACTTGTCTCTTGGGTTGGTAACTGCACACACCCAGCCCACCTGCTCTCAGCACGAGGGCTCACAGCTTCAGCCTCACACTCCTTTTGTCGTAGGGTGCCCCAGCTGCCAGTGTGCGGGGTGGAGAGCTCTGCCCTCACCACAAAACAAAATGTCCTGGCACGCTGGTTCAGTGCCTTTGTGGAGGACGCTGGCTGCGCCTGCTGAGTGAGCTGGCCTGCAGGAGGAGGTGCGGCAGCACCGCACCCCGACTTCCCCACTGGAATTAAACTGAGCCAAGGCACAGTGTTTGTCTTGGCAGCAGGGAGCTCACGGGAGGTGACACTCGCAGGGCTGGTGAGCTGTGACATTACCTGCCTAACCGTGGGTCAGCTGCAGCTGCCCTGCCTCCCCCAGGGTTCACAGAGTCATTCAGTTGGAGAAGACCCTTGGGATCATCGAGTCCAACCACCAGCCTTACTCTACAAGTTCTCCCCTACACCATATCCCTCAACATCTCATCTAAACCACCCCTAAAAACATCCAGGAACGGTGACTCCACCTCCTCCCTGGGCAGCCTATTCCACTCTCTGACCACTCTTTCTGTGAAAAATTTTTTCCTCCCGTCCACTCTGAACCTCCCCTGTTGCAGTTTAAAGCCATTCCCTCTTGTTCTGTCACTT